TCTTGTTTTTTTTTTTATTTATTATCAATAGATTGACAAATGTGGTGCAGACATTATATTATAGGTCTTTGTTGTTAGACGTTGGTTGTTTTATAAGCTATTCTCAGTAGAAATAGACAAACGTGGCCAGACATTTTATGGGTCTCTGTTAGTAGAAATAAACAAATGTGATCAGACATTTTTCTGTACGTCGGTCGGCTTTTTTCACCGCCTGTCAGTAGAAGAAAACTAACAGAACCAGACGCAACAAAGCATGGAAAAGTTTACTTTTTCTGACATTTTCTTGTATTTCTTTCATTTGAGCATCTTTATCTCAACATTTGATTTTTTTACCGTAAAATGAAACGCGGCGAATTATAGAACAATGGAAGCCGGTGATATAAAATGCTTGCATGTTCATGCGGTCGCTCCGGCACTCCGCGCACCTGTTCAATTAATTTACTTCAACAGAGTAGAGACATCATTGTTTCGAAGTATGTGACTTTTCTCTTGGTCAAATGATATGTCTGCTATTTTTATTTTTATGTTCTTATTGAAAATGAAAAATTTCCGATATCTAAAACAATAATTTTAAAAAATTGTTAATTATTACACTATTATTATACTTCTTTTGTTACATTTATCTGCTTTTTTTTATTACATATACATTTTTTAACGTAACATTTTAGTGTTTATTTTTTATCTATTTTGTTTCAAAAATAAAAAATAATAATTTCGGAATATTATTAAATAAAAAAGTAATTAAAATAAATTATTGTATGTTTTGTGCAACTCAAAATTAATGGAAATAATCTAAGCACCAGAACAATGTCGTCTTATGTCACGAAATTTTCATTGCATCGTGTATAACGACGGACTGCTTTCGCGCATCATAACTCTTCGTAACTGTCGCGCATAAATAGTTACGCGACATGCATGACATACTCGACAATCGCACTATTGTCTACTAAGTATCTATATTTATATCAATCATATTCTCAATATTAAAATTCAACATTAAATCCATTTTGAAATCCAATACGCGTGTCACCGTCGTCCATCCTCCACCGGGAGCTCCTAGACTATTTCGAGTACGAGTCAGGCTTTCCCAAATTTATAAGCGGGAACGGAGTGGGTGGCCGAGGGAGACGAGGGAGTGAATTAATACCGTGAGTTAAATTAAACTTTGTGCGACGATTCACAACGGTGACTTTGTGCGACACATTCCTCTCGGTCGACGCCGATGCTTGCCATTATTTCCCGCCCTTTTCACAGAACCAATCTCGCGACAAATCGACTTTTGCTATAATTCTTGTTAAAACTTCTAAAATTTTCAATTGTTTATAACGGGAAATTTTTAATTCTTTTTCTTTTTATTAAGAAACGTAACGCAATTTGAAAACAGTGTTATGCATCTTGGGATTTAGGCGATATAACTGCACAAATAATTACCAGACTCTTCTGGTCGCAAACAAAACGTAACATTACATTTGAGATTCATCCAAAATCTACAATTTTCAAATTTTTATTGCTAATATATGTATTATATATTCAAATTATTGTGAGTAATATTTATTTTTTTTATATTATAATTTAATTTTGAACATATAATCGAGCACATATAAATTTCAAACATAGCTTATAATTTAATTGTAATATTTAATTATATATTATGTAGATATATTTATTATATAAAATTATTAAAAGTTATTGATCAATAAATAGAGATTTTTCTTATTCCGTGGAAAATCTATAAATATAATATTACTAATTAAAAATTAACTTCTTTTATTAGCAATATCAATGGTACATCAGCTATCGTTCACATTTTGTTTACGATCATACTTGGAACAATTGTGTCCTTGTTGTGCTTTGTATTTTTAATTCTTTTGTAATGTACCCGAGTGGGGGCTGGGTATCTATTATGGTACATGAAAATCAGTATTTTGCCCGGAATTACCGGTTGGATACCAGCGAGACGCGAGTTTCGTGTCGACCACCAACGCAGCTAGGCGTTCCCTCGTAAATTGGTGAAATTGAAGTGTGACAGCTGGTTGTCAGGTACGCGTACTCGCAAGCAGTCAATCAAGCGAACCCTCGTAAAGGGAGAGAAACAGCCCGCGGGCTTCCGGGAGGCTTAGAATATGGCACCGTCCTCGTGACGGTTGCGAATCGTCCGCGAACTGAGTGAGTGATACAAGTGGCCGCGGTAGATATCAAAGGAATGACACGGATTTGGACAAGCTAATTAGCAACATAATATCGCACTTCCCGCAAGTTATTTAACCTTGTTTTCGCAATGTATCGCAGCATTAAGTAAACTTGTAAAAATAATTTTCATAATTTTTCTTATTTTTCCATACTTTTCTTTTAGTAAAGAAGAAAAAAAAAATATATATTAGTGTATGATGTCTGATGCAAGAATAATGTATGTTGTAAATAATTTTTTTTTATGAAATATTGGCAACTACTACAGCTTGTTTTTACATTAATTGAATGGTCAAAATCTTTATATCCTTAATTTGTAAATAAAAAAATTAATTTTTGTTAAAAATAAATTAATATCTGTTTTATATAAATTAAGAAGGAGAAATTTTATGATAATATGTCGCTTTGATGTTACCGCATCGCATTTTGCACCATGAAAGCGACTATTTATGTAGCACGTTTAGCATCTCACCGGAAGCTAATTTTGGTTTCAGCTGCAATATTGCGTCTCGATAGTCACACGCTTCGCGTAACATTTCATACTTCTTAATTGACAGCATCATGTCATAGAATTAACATTTGATTATGCTAAGTGAATCTCTTTCTCTCTCTCTCTTTCTCTCTCTTTAGATATTTTTTTAAGCTAAGAAGAATAAAAATTTTTTATGCAACACGTGAAACATGATATTTAACATTTCAAAATTTGATTTTAATATTTTTCATATAATATAACATTATTATTACTGAAAAATTAAGTTTGAATAATTTTTTAGTTTAATAAATTAGACAATTAATGTAGGTATACGTTAATATTCTTTATGCGAAGTGAAAATATAATTATGTATAATTTCAAATAAAGATAAGCTATTTTCTTCATAATATATATTTGCGATTAATGTTGCAGATTACAACTTTTTTGTAATGAAACAAATTTGTAATTTATGTAAACTCTATATACATGTTCTATAAAATTATTATTGTGATTACTTTAAATCAAAATTTTATAAGAGCTCGAAATTTAATTTAAGTATGAATTGTCTTATAGTAAAACATAAGCACAGTGCTATCGCAATTGCGAGGTAATTTAATGCAAATCCATTAAATATGCAGACTTTTCGTGATGAGAATTTTGCAATAATTTTGAAGCAGTTACATAATAAATTCTTTACACGCATCGCATTTTGGCTTACGACCAGCATCAAAATACGTAGATTCTATCGTAATGAAGTATAACATACACCATCTCTCGATTTCAACGCTCTTTTTTTCGTGGAGATTTCACAAGAATTTTATTAGTCCTGCAAGAAAAAGAAAAACGCTTTTTTTAATGCTTGGCATCGCTCCAGCACCGAAATATCTTATCGATCATACAAAATCGCGATCTCCATTGTCGTCAAAGACACGCCTTCGTCGCATCCAGTCACATTTCTATCAACGCGCAGCAGTAACTCCTCTAAATCTGCATTTTTATTAAAACAACCGAATTAAAAATACATTTATCTAATATATTTCACCGAAACGTAATTATTCACACAATTTTATGTATTTGAAAAAAATATTGTCGATTATTATGTAATAGATTATTCTCAAAAAATATTATAATTATTTGCCATTTCTGATCTTGGAAGAAATGTTTAATTTGAAAAAATTATTAATTAATTCTTCAACTTTAATGACATTTCAGGCGTCCGAAGAGTACAGGGAACATAGCACGCATAAAACTCAACGAGCTCGTAAGACACAACAAAGACAAAATCAACACGTAGTCGAGCAGCGCAGCACAACCTTGCAGGAAAGCTCCACTGTCACCACAAAGCGCAGTAGCCAGCAGGAGTTATCGAAGAAGAATTTCAACGTTATCCGATTGAACTCCATTCCATTACCTCTCGCGAGTGGTGGCACAGTTATCTGTAAGTAATACCTTAATTTATATTTTAAATATTCGTAAAAGCTTTATCCACCATTCAAATATTTGAAAATTTATCTAAAAAACAAAAAAGAAAATAATTAAAATAAGGAAATTAATATAATTTTTGCACGTAAAATATAATTCGAATTTTTGGCGAATAAGAAGTAACAAGTTATTTCACATGTGAGAATCGTAAGAAAAAGAAAAAGTTATTTAATTGCAATTATGGATTATTTTTCAATGCTCAAATATGCATGTATAATTATGATATGAAATAAATTTCAAGTTCGTGTTGCGATTGGTTGGATTAATGGAAAAAAAGTGTTGCAATATTTATCATTTTTATTTAAATTATTTTTTAATTATTTTTTTATGTTAAAAAGATATTAATTATATTTTTGTTTTTATAAATTGTGTATAAAATATCTCGTAATTCTAATCTTAGCACGTGGTGAGATAACGCATCGTACGATTTATTATTATTTCGTACTACTGTAACTAAAATTGTAAGTATCTAATACTTAAGGATACAACAAAATAATAAGCTATTTGAAGTTAGTTCAATTAAAATATAATTGCTTAAAATTGAAGTATAATCGATTAAAAAGAGCAAAGTTTGCAGGATTGTCTGACTTATTATTAGCTTATACTACTGCAGACGACACACTGTTTTTTTTATATCGCCACAGATATTTTCTTAGACGTTCTTTTTTCTGTTTAGTCAAAGTTAATAATTGTGCTACAAGAAAAAGATATTATTTTAACAGAACAACAATTTTGAATCAATTAAAAGATTAAATTGTTATTTTTTTAACAAATATTTTTTATATAATGTTCTGAAATTATTGAATGCGCTGAAATCGATTGAATTGATTTAAATGCATTTAAGTGTATAATTTATTGATACACATTAAATAACAAATTTGTTTATTGCCTCCATCAAATTCATCGAATTTTATTGCTAATGCAATATCGGCACCACAGTTAATAATTTATTTTCTATTATTAGTTTAACGACAATAATCGAACGTGCATCGAGCTGACCTACTCGCACTGCACAGAAATAAATTCCAACTTTACTGCGCAACATGTGCTGGAGTTTAGTTGCTCTCGAAATTTTACGACGCGAATTCTTCCGCTTCGTGCGAGACGGATTCGGTGCGCTTTTACGCGCTCTTAAATTCTCGTCCAAATAAAACACTCCTCTTTTTGCGATGATTAATATTGTAAATCATCTTTAAACGTTTTGCTTAACGGATGCATCGACAGTGAATAAACTGTCGTTAATCATGCGTGCGCCTGCATACTGTACTTGACACGACGACTCGTACTCGTACGTACTTAACTTGATAGATCACTCACGATATTGATTAATGACCAATGATGTAGTGCCGTGTAACAATTCGCGATCGAACAGGCTGTTTAAGTACTTCGGTGCGATCAGAAAGCTATTGTTGTTAAATAAATAAGACAATGTAATATTACATAAAATTTTTAATATCTAAAAAGAATCACAACTATTAATCAAATCTTGAAAAAAAAAGAACAATACTGTTTTAAAGGATACGCGATATGATGTAAGCTTCTCTGCAACATTGTGGAATATTATGTGGAATATCGAATTCTCTCTTGACGAGTGAACTCCTAATAAGTAAACAGACAACGAGTAATGCGATTTAATTATACATAATGTTCCACGGTGGACTAAGAAGGTGAATTGAGAAGGCGTCAGATGACAAACAGGATGAATTCGTCTTCGCGCTTTATCCACCACCTTGCCAAAAATATGGCGAGCTGGACAGAAGCGTTGCGCGGAAGGGGTACGTCGGATAAGCACGACGCACTGTCCGCGATATTAATATTGGGTGATTAAGTGACTCCGGATGCGCCGCGCGGGTACTCGCGGCTGGTCCGCAGCCGAGTCTCGAGATTCCGAGCGGCCGAGGACGATGGCGGGTCCAGAAAAAGACCGATCCCTTCCACATCGGGCTTTCTTCATCCTCCAGTCCAGGCCTTCTCTCGCCTCATGCGCGAAAGTCAACTGGAGCGATTTTCCGGTCGACGAACTCACGCGATTCGTTTGGGTGGCCACGGTATGTTTACACCTTGCCAAGAGATCGATATCTTGGCGCTGGAAGCGCCCGGTGCGATTTTATGCGGATGATTTCCCGCTTCCAGAGAAATCGCGAAATAATAACGCTCCCATTTCGAGATATTAATACTACTGTGAATCAAGCGATGCAGAGGTCACTCGAGATGAAGAATAACGTTGAATTAGGTTGTCGGTTCTCTTGGCGGATTACATGATACCTCCGGTGTGACTGTTGTGACGCGCGCTGATGCGCGAATAATATCGCGCGGCGCAGGTTCAATGCATCACGCCTGTTCATAATTAGTCAAACTCAGTCGACACCCGCTCCTCTTCGTCATAGCGGCTGTGGCGCGTGTTAAATACACGGACGAGCCGGTTCACTTGCTTGACGACTTCCTTCGATAAATGAAACGGCGAGCTCGGAAATGCAACCAAGATTTTACGCGCCAACATTTTCGTCTTGTCTATCTTGAGAATTCCGGGATTCCTTTCACGTGATAACAATTTACGTAACCTTCTATAAAGATCAACGGAGGTATCAAAGAGGAACAGAAGAGTCAAAGAAAGGATATGGAGGACTATTTTAAGAATGCACTTCAAAGAATACTTGTTTGGATGTTGAGACTTCTTTCTGTTTCTTCTAACGCATACTTTAGATCATTTCGAGTCAAGAATAGATCGTCATATTACTTACGTCTCATTATATTATTAAAATGTGGGTCAAAGAGTGAGAAAATAAATTATAATTATCAATTTGAATAATAAGTTTAACTTTTTTCTTCAAATTTTTATAGAAGACTAAAAGAAATATTCATAAGAGTCCTCGAAGATATTTCTATGAAGAAGTTGTTATTTTCAAAAGTAAGATGTTTTCCTCTAAAGTGTATCAACAGATGCTTCATCTGTAGCATCACTCCGTCACGAGTGAGTATCACGTTCCAAAGACGGCCTCGAGCCGCCTCCTTTAGCAATCGAAGGTGATATGTCGAGCGGCGGGCACGTCATCGCGTATGCGCCTAATGATGGTCGCGTCGTCTCGCTCCCGATTTACCCCGATCGAGCGGATCCGTCCATCGTTGATCCGTCGCGTAGCCACGCAATCACCCGTCCATCCGCAACTCGGCGAGCACACCACGGTTACCACACACACACCGCGTATATATAATATATATTATATATATATATATATAATATATAATAAAATGTATCTCCACAGACACCAATACGTACACCTGCGCCATAAATCTTCGCGCACCAGGTGCAGGCGCCGCGACGCCGACCATCCGCTTCCTCCCACCAACACGCGGAATCCTCGGATTAGCGCGTGCGTAAACCTCTATCAGTTCGCTCCGATAATGTGTGCGTATGTAGATGTGCATGCATGTGTCACTGTGGTGATACCGCTCGCATACGCGCGGTTCACGTGTGATGCGATGATAGAGAAGGATAGACTTCCTCGTGAAGAAAAGTAAAATAAAAGAGAGAGAGAGGGAGAAAGATCGGGGTCGGTGAAGAGAAAGAGAGAAAGAGACAGAGAGAGAGAAAGAGAGACGAGAATGTTTGATAGACGAGGCAGACTGGCGAAGTCAGTTTCTTCTGGTGGCTACGCTGGAAAAAAAGATCACCCAGCCAGATCACGACGTCGGCTCTCTCGTCGTCCTCGCCGCCGACCGACTTTGGTGCTCGGGCGATCGCCAGTCGCGCCGGAGATGTGCCCTCGTGAGGTCGACTGACAGGCGCCATCAGACTGGAGACCACGAGAACAAGATCACTGGAGAACGTCGGAAGACGTTTGTTGCCGTTCGATTCGGGTCGGTTGGTGGGTCAGTCGGTCTCCTAAAGTCGCCCCGCAGCACCTTTCGGGAATCCTGAATTTTTTTTTTTAACGCGAACACCTCAGTGCTCGGAGAAATTTATCGCCGCCGATCTATTCGGGGGGGCGAGGGTGTTGCCTTCGGCACGTGACGTCGCGCTCGTAACTGGAATCTTTCACTTACTGCTGAATCACTTCGCTCGATATTTGGAAGTGATGTAAGATTTTTAAATATAATTCTTTTTTATGTAGAAAAATAACGGCAGAATTTATTCGCGAAGTAAAGTCGAAAAAACTCGTTCGGTTAAAAATATAAAATTGTCTTGCGCGAGATTAATATACATATTCGGTCACGCAAGATTAACGCAAATAAAAAAACATTATTAATTGTCCGAATAAAACAAGAATATATTTCTTTTTTTCTTTTATTAGTTTTTTTTTTGCGGCGATTATAGTGATTTTTTATTCAAATCGGGCCGACCTTGATAATCGATTTAGAGTAATTTGTCAAGTGCGTCGGCGACAGTAATTTGCGCGATCCTGAAGTGTGCTTGTTGGAGATGATTTGGGCAGAGAAGGAACCAGAAATACCAGCCACGTGGCAGGAGGTATCAACTTTCTACAAAGCTTGGTTGAAGAGCGTGTCCTGCAGTGAAGTTGATCACGCTGAGCGACCGATCTGCTACGTTAAAATCACTCAAGAAAAGGACGAGGTTCCCGGACCCGGACTCGATTTCGCGCCGCTCATCTTCCAGAGCCTCTTCTATATTCAGACGAGAAAAGGTTTCAAGAAATCTTTCAATTCGTCTCTGACCAATTCCAAGCAAATATTTGAAAAATTGTGTTAATCTAATCGGATTATTGGATTATCATATTAGAACACGCACTACTAATTGTAAGAGATAAATTTATAGCACCTGTCGTAAATTTGTAAAAATTTATAAAAATTAAATTTTTTTGTAAAAAATTTGTATGTGTTCTACATATTAAATATATAGTTCTATGTATGAAAAGAATTTTTCTGACATGCAACTCCGATTTAAAAAAATCTCAACTCATATAGATTATTTTTTTAAAGATATTTTACTTTTTCACACATTTATTAAAATGCAAAGTTATTAATGTTAGATTTCGAAAATTATATTAAGCATACCGCAAGAAATAATTTTCAATTTTTTTCTAGGAAAATTATTTATATATTTGCAAAGATATTATTGTACAGTTTGGAATATGGAGCGCATGACAAACATAAACATTAAGTGGTTATTTTTGATATGAAATCTTGTTTGGGTGCGAAAGCTGTAATTTTATACACCAGTGCCAACCAATCGCTGCGCACTCGAGAAAACTATGTCGCGTACGTGCCTTTGGATTATGTGCCTGATGAACGTCATTCTGCTCATTTCCAGCCGAAGTGAAGATGCCTAGCGGAAACGTGGATAAGCCAGTTATCGAGGACAATCACGATGGCACGGTATCCATCAAGTACGAGCCGAGGGAAGAGGGCCTCCACGAGATTTATGTGAAGTTCAACGGGGAACACGTCCAGGGTAAGTCACTACATTCATCTCGCAAATTAACAGCGATTATGCAATCGGAAAGTGCGATCGATCACACGGAGATTCACAGGGATTCCAAGAATAACGCGTTAATGTATGATGCGTTTACGATCCGTACGATGCTGAAACACGAGAGCTATATGAAAATTCATCCTCCGTGTAATGGATCTTGCAAGCGCCAATTTGCGCTAATAATAAATCACCGCCGAGCAAATTAATTTACATCACGCGGCGATCGTTAAATTCCCAATTATGTTCAAGTGAATATTTATTGTGTTATAAATTACACTCTTATTATTGATACTGAAAACGTCTTATCGGTATTGATATTTTACAAATAATGTTATTAATGTGTGAAACGTAACACTTGAGAAAAATCGTGCGAGAATTATCATATAAAATGTCTTTCAATTTGCTATACATTTTTTATTAATATATAATTTTATTTTTAGGTTCTCCTTACAAATTCCATGTCGATTCTTTGGCAAGCGGATATGTAACGGCGTACGGACCAGGTTTAGTCTACGGTGTGTGCGGCGAACCTGGAAACTTTACCATCTCAACAAAAGGCGCCGGCGCGGGCGGTCTTTCCCTGGCAGTTGAAGGACCTAGTAAAGCCGAAATATGCTGTCACGATAATAAGGATGGCACCGTGTCGGTATCCTATCTGCCCACTGCGCCGGGAGAATATAAGATCACCGTTAAGTTTGGCGACAAGCACATCAATGGCAGTCCTTTCGTCGCAAAAATTACAGGTAACCTATCAAGATTATTATGATATTACTGCGCATTTTAGGACGTATTTTAATAACACTAAATTTGTGACTGAATTTTGGATAAAAATTTTTTATTGCATCACATACTTAAATTCGTTAATTTTTGTGCAATCAGTTCTAATTACATAAATATATTTTGTCAACACATATTTTTGATTCTTAAAATTTAAATGTTCTCTCGTTAAAAAAAAAAAACAGTTCTGTCATCTTGTAGTCTTAACACTAAAGTTATTCCGTTAAATATTCTAGGCGAGGGCCGCAAGAGGAATCAGATCTCCGTAGGTTCCTCCAGCGAGGTGCAGCTACCGGGTAAGGTGTCCGACGCCGATATCAAATCCTTGAACGCATCGATCACGGCGCCTAGCGGCCTGGAGGAGCCGTGCTTCCTGAAGCAGATGCCAAGCGGCAACATGTGCGTGTCGTTCACGCCCCGCGAGTCTGGAGAGCATATAGTGGGCGTGAAGAGGATGGGCAAGCACATACCGAATTCCCCGTTCAAGATCGACGTGAAGGATCGGGAGGTCGGTGACGCGAAGAAGGTCCAAGTGGCCGGTCCCGGTTTGAAGGAGGGCAAGACCCACGTTGAGAACAACTTTTCGATCGACACGAGGAACGCCGGCTTCGGCGGTCTCTCGCTGTCCATGGAAGGCCCGAGCAAGGCCGAGATTCAGTGCAAGGACAACGAGGACGGCACCCTGAACATCTCCTACAAGCCCACCGAGCCCGGCTACTACATCATGAACCTGAAGTTCGCGGATCACCACGTCGAGGGCTCGCCGTTCACCGTGAAGGTCAGCGGCGAGGGCAGCAACCGGCAGAGGGAGAAGATTCAGAGGCAACGGGAGGCGGTGCCTATCACCGAGGTCGGCAGCCAGTGCAAGCTGACCTTCAAGATGCCCGGCGTCACCGCCTTCGATCTCACCGCCACTGTTACATCGCCCGGCGGCGTCACCGAGGACGCTGAGATCAAGGAGGCCGAGGACGGCATTTACGCGGTCGCGTTCGTGCCCAAAGAGCTGGGCGTGCACACGGTGTCCGTGCGCTACAAGTCCATGCACATCCCTGGCTCGCCTTTCCAGTTCACGGTAGGTCCGCTGAGAGATGGCGGCGCCCACAGGGTTCACGCGGGTGGACCCGGTCTGGAGAGAGGGGAGCAGGGCGAACCTTGCGAATTCAACATCTGGACTAGGGAAGCAGGAGCGGGTACTCTCGCTGTCTCCGTCGAGGGACCCAGCAAGGCGCAAATAGACTTCAAGGATCGCAAGGATGGCAGCTGCTACGTTAGCTACGTTGTCAGTGAACCTGGTACGAGACACGTGTACTTTACAATTAATCCTTTTATGATTTTCACTCTACTACTATTTTTGCGAATATTGCCAAGCGCGCGCGTTTTTTAAACCAATGCAAGGTAAGATTTTATAATATTTGAATTATATGCCAAAGAATTTTCTACTTGATAACAATTTATCGTGATTGAAAATAATTCATAATACTTTTTTTTTATGGTGTGAGCGCTATATTATAAAGAATAATAATTATTTTATTATTTTATAATTATCACATAATAATTACAAATCTAGTTTTTTAATTGGATTTTATATTTTATATTTTATTATTTTATATTTTATATTTTATATTTATAATATATATAAACATAAATGATATTAATAGTATATATTCAATTTTATATTCAATTATATATTTAATTATAAATTCAATTTTAATTACCGTAATTACTACGATTTTTAAAGAAGAAATAATAATAATTAGAGATCCGATTAATCTTTTAAACAATAATTTTAACAATTGTAGAATAAAAAGAGCGCAGACAACTGTGTTCAAAGTTACACATAAAGGCACAGATGCACACATACACACATTCGAAAATGCAACACTCAGAATTCAACGGCGCGAGCAAGATATCGGCTGTCAATCAAAATGTCCACGAAGTGTTACAAAGTAGTGACAAAGATGGACATTTGCCATTTATTTGATGAAAGCCGCCGGAAACAAGCTGAGAGACGCTTTGAGACAGTAATACTTCTCAAGTATTTTACGGACTTGTTCGCCAGATTTTCTTTGTTGCGACAGATCGGGCGTTCATCTCGCGATTTACGACCTTATACTTTGTGTCACGATGGATTATTCGCCGCGTGCACATAATTGATCGCATACCGTCACTCGAGTGACTCACAAACGTTCGTCCAAAATTATCCACATGAATTCTGGTGGATCGCCGATGATATTCGCGCAAACTAAATCATGCATGATGCCTGTTGGATGTAATACGCGCTAATTTAACCACGCGGACGTTAAATCGTACTTAAATATTTTCTAAGATACAACAAAACATTATTTTATCTCCAATGCTTTGAAATCTCGACATTTTCTTGAGACTCAATACCATTTTTTAACTTTTATTTTGATTGTTTTGCATGATTATATTTTTTTATTGTATCTTTGATGCATTTTTGTAACATTCTGTGCGAGTATGCAGTGATTCGTAATAAAAAGTATTTTTGTTTTAATGGTGAGATTACAAGCAACCTGATATTTGTCAATTGAGAATAGAAGTATTGAATCTCTAATCTACTTTTATCAAATTTTATGCCCATTGACAAAAAAAAAATTCTTTTAACGTCGAGGCTATAAATGATCTACCGTTTGCTAAGCAAGGATTATCGGATAGATCCTAGATTTTTAATATTAAATATATCTGCGTTAAGCCGCCAAATATTTGTAACATTTTGGACAGTAACGTCGTTCAGAGAGAGAGAGAGAGCTATCATTGAAATAGCTTCAGTGACGGAACACCCTGTATTTACGCGCGGTCGGATTTACGTGCGTGCCGTAGCCGTCGACGTAGATCAACGACGACCGTCCACAAAGTGTTAATGAATCCGGCTCGGCTGCTCGTTGATCCGTCGTTGCTCCATGTCTGCCCACCCTTCTCTCCCACCCTGTTGATCGTCCAGCTCTCTCGGTTCCGATCCCAAAATATCACCGTCTATATTTGTTAAGGTGGATCCATATTTTGGCCCCGGTTGGCCACTCGTGGCTGGACGCGGATTAGCGCGCGATGGTTATATTTGGGTCCCGTGGGAGCGGACTAACGGCACAGTGGGGAGACCAGAGGGGGTACAGGGGGTGCGAGCAAAACAGAAACACGGGGGTGCGGGGAATGAGAACGGGGGGGAGAAAGCTCGCGGACGAATCGAGATCAGGATCGACCCGAGGAAAGGTAGTGGTACGCGACCAACCTTCGGCTGCAGCTGCGATCGTTCGTCTCTTTTTCTCTTCCTCCCTTTTACTTCCTCTTCTCTTTTTCTTTCTTTCCGCGCTTATCACTCTCCCCTCTCCGTTCGAACCCTTCTAGCCGTCCCCGATTTCCTTCTTTCCCGTCTCGTTCGCCAAAGCCCCCTGTTCCCTTTTACTCTCGTGACGTAAACTCGGAATTGATGGCTACCTTCACAGCCACCACGCAGATCGTCCTGGCCGGAAACGAGCCGCAGAAATCTCAGGAAGATGATGGTTAGTTCGATTCTTGAGCGAATGTATCTCGAGCTTCTTTCGTCGCCGTGAAGCAAGAGACATGACTCGCCTCGATATAACGCGATTTAATCACCGTGTGTTTCGCTCGGAAATAATTAATATTGGCTAGATACATTGCTAAAATATTATCAGTAATCATTTACCAACCAGATACATTTCATTATATTTTTATGCAAGTTTATTTCTGCAAAAGAGAATTATTATTTCGTTTGGGCATTAAGATTTCATTTAAGTGAAATTGTAACAAGAAATATAGATTGAAACCAGTAACATATATATTTTTTTTGTACACAGATTAAATCACACGATTATTTTCAGATAACTTCCACGCATGAAATCGAACTTCTTATTGTCCAATATATTTATTCCCTCGACGTTTCATATCGCTTACTCTTTCAGGCGAATACAGGGTGGGAATCAAGTTCAACGATCAGCACATTCCTGATTCGCCGCACAAGGTTTACATCTCGCCGGCGATGGGCGACGCGCACAAGCTCGAAGTCGCGCAGTTCCCCGAGAGCGGAGTGCAGCCCGACAAACCGTACACCTTCCTGGTGCGCAAGAACGGCGCCAAGGGTGAATTGTTCGCGAAGGTAATGCACCGCCCTTCTCCGACGCTGGTAACAAGTGTGATCCGGGGGTGGGGGGGGGGGAGGCCGTGTGCATGACTCGTGATAAATATCCTTGCGACGGAGAGAAGGAGCGCCGTAAATAACTCGCGCGCGCTTGTGAAACGCACGCTGCCACATCAGACCGCGTAGGTGGGACCGAGAACGTATTTTTACTGTGCACCATGTGTACATAGCTGGATGAGTCACATGGAGGATTTCGACACAAAGTGGCATCTTCGTTATTCCGCGTCTTTAACGGCTCTATTTAGTGGTTGTTTACTTGAGAATCACGATTCTTGAGTTGTTTGTGTGCGAAAATGTGAGAAAATGATTATTTTTAGCTTCGTGATCGATTTCGTAGATGTCAATTCGAAAACTTTGGATATAGTATTATATTAATCGCGCAGCGAAACGCAAAAATATTGAGATATTTGCAGATAAATATTAATATCTAAAAGAATCTTAATATCTAAAATATAAATATCTAAAATTCGAAAACTTTGGATATAGTATTATATTAATCGTGCAGCGAAACGCAGAAATATTGAGATATTTGCAGATAAATATTAATATCTGAAAAAATCTTTGCTAAACTGTTTAACTTTTGCAAGCTAAACATGAATATTATTGTATAATTTACCGTTTTATTTATTTTGCAAATCACAGAAGATTTGTTTGCGGCGCATGCCGATATATTAATTTTTCATCTTATAACATTTTCAGTGAGCGCGTATATTATTTATGAATTAATACATCTGTGCACATGTTGCGCGTGTACGCGTAACGTTACGAATCGCTATAAGCAGCTGATCAATAGTAGATAGATAGGTTGTGAAATAAATCATGCTTCTGTAGGCCGCACTGATTTATATAAACCTATATAAAATATGTAATAGCATTGTCAATTAACTTCGATTTATATTGAAATTATTAGAGATCGATCGACACAAATATTGATTCTTTTAGATAGAAAAAGCAATAAAGAATAATTTTTATTTGAAAGCCGAAACTATTTCTGACGAAAATGATTTATTCTCAAGTGAGTGATTTGTAAAATATCATCGTTTAATTATAAAAATACAATTAACCCTTTCTCAACATAAAAAAACGCAAAATAATCGCATCGGCCGGCACGTGTCAAATTTATAGATTAAAATATTACTACTTTACTGCGCATGATCTACGCGTGTGTTTAATATGAATTTTAGTTTTTTACATATCATGTAATATTGAATATTGAAAGAGAGCAAGAAAGATTTTACGAAGCAAAACTTAAATAAAGGAAAATTATATTCTTAGAATATAAATAATATTATAACTTTTTTTTATCACGATGCAAAATTATTTCTCTACCAGATTGTGTAAAAATAAAGAAAATTACATTTTTTGGAAGTATCTATCGTATCATACTGGAGCTAGGAAACTCGTGACTGAAAGTTGACCTTCCGAGTCGCATTAATCGATTCGTTACCGTTTCAGCTTGTGTCGCCGAGCGGAGTTCAAGACGACTGCTTCATCCAGAGCATCGATACGGATACGTACTCGGTGAGGTTCATGCCGACGGAGAATGGCATCCACCAGATCCATATCAAGTTCAACGGGGTGCACATAACGGGTAGCCCGTACCGCATCAAGGTCGGTAAGGTGGACGCCGATCCGGCGGCCCTGCACGCCTACGGCAACGGCTTGAAGGAGATCAAAACTGGTCAGAAGACTGATTTCATCATCGACACCTGTAATGCGGGCTGCGGTGCATTGGGTGTTACCGTAGACGGACCTAGCAAGGTTGCCATGGACTGTACTGAGGTCGAGGAAGGCTATAAGGTCAGGTATACGCCTTTGGTGCCAGGCGATTACTACATCAGCAATCAAGTACAACGGCTACCACAATCGTGGGCTCGCCTTACAAGGTTTCTTGCACAGGTGCGCATTTCTTTATGTATTTTTTAATATATAACATAATTTTAAAATTTCAACGTAATCATAATTTGCGAAGCACGAAACTTATTATTTATCTGAATGATGAACAATTTAAATTTCTTTTTTTGTCCCAAAAGAGTTCTGCGATTTATATCGCTTTCGGTGCTTCAAATTTATACAATATTTAAAGACGTAATTTTTTTTGAAAAATGTATGGAAGATTGTAGAAATGATAAATATTGTTTATTGCAGGTGCGGATTTGGCAGAAAGAGGCGCGCAAGAGACGAGTTCGATCGTTGTCGAGACCGTGCAGAAGATATCCAAATCTAAGCAGGTTGGACCCGTACTGCCATTATTCAAGTCCGACGCGAGCAAAGTGACGAGTAAAGGCATGGGTCTTAAGAAAGCTTATTTAGGAAAGCAAAATCAGTTCACCGTTAGCGCAGGAGATGCCGGTACGTTTTGTTTGACCGTATTAAAATTTTTATTCTCTATTTCTATTCTCATGACGAGTACAATACGCGTTAATAATACCTTACACGTCCAGTTTAGGATGCATTGCGTCTAGATATTTGTACATTAGTATTTTTTATGCAAACAGAATCATGTTTGACAGTTTAATATACACTATTAAAAAAAAAAATAGAAAACACTTTCTAGACGTTCAAAATCGAGCAATTTTTAAACCACTGAAACTCGGCGAAAAATCATTGCAGACAAAAAATTAGAAAGACATATTAAAGTTTGAAGTTTGTATTTTCACGTGCACTGTTTTTTGAAAATTTTTGTATCTTAACATTCCAAGTCTGGAAAAAGAATGTATTGTTTCTTTTTGTTCTTAAAATTACGTCCAATACTCTGCAGCTCAATAAAAAATTTTTTTGCAAAATTTGACAAGTGAAAAACTGCAACATTTTACCTACAAAATATTTCTTTTTTAATTTTGCTACGTTTTTTAGCAAATATTTACATGACGTGTTCAATCCGCAAAATTCTGAAACGGAAATGTAAGGCATTATTAACGCTTAATGTAGCACGAATAACGATCGATATATTATTCAGTTGATTATTCAGAATATGTAAGATCACTATTATCAATTCTAATTGATGTCGCAATTGTAGGTAACAATATTCTGTTTGTCGGCGTATACGGACCCAAAGGACCATGCGAGGAAGTATTTGTAAAGCACACGGGACGCAATAATTACAACGTGAGTTACTTAGTACGCGAACGGGGCGAATACATCGTGATCGTGAAATGGGGCGATGATCACATCCCCGGCTCGCCTTACAAGGTCGAAGTTTAAGCCGAATCAGCATCCAGACATCGAGCAACACGTTTGTGACAACGCAAAATGGAGCCATCCTTCGTTTCAGTATAAACTAGACAGTCTTGAAGCATCCAACTTCGCCAAAATAAAAACGAATTATGTGCCAAACGAGATTTTCGGTCGTACTTACAATCGTAAATCGATATTGGCGAAACAAGATGTATTTCGTCACATTTTTCGAACACTCCAGTTTACGTCGAAACGATGGATTGCTCGATCTTTAGAATAACAGTTTTATCCAGGGGACAATTATATCGACGCCAACGATAAAATCACGATGGCTTCTTGCCGACATAGTTAATTCGCTCACCCTTTCAAAATTCTACGGATTTTGATGATTTTTGTTGAGTCCGAGATAGTAGAGTCGCGAATAGAAGCGATAAATATTAAATCAACGATAAAAACAAATACGTAGGTCAATTACACGTTCGTTCAAAAAACACCAATTGTGCCTTTTGATTCGACGCAAGAATATTTACATGTACACATATACTTAACACGTACACATACAAAGACACACGTAAAAACGCGTCATGGTCACCCAAGTCAGATCCTAATTATGTTATATTATGTTATATATTATCGGTTACTAAGTATAGATTAAATATACTACAATTGATTATTATAATAATGATATAGAAGTTAAATAAATAATATATTTATTATATGGATCCTTCGTTTACCATCCTTTTCGTCTGCGAGAACAACAAACGACATCGCAAAATACGTAATAAGCCTAAAGTGTTTGCACTAACAATAAGAATAATATAAATTTAAAAGTAATGAAAGAGAAAAAGAAGATTAGACAAGAGAAACAAAAGAATAGAAATTATTATTAAAATATTTTAATTCGAATAAAAAAATCTGTTACTTGCTCGTTTTAATGCATGTGTTGTTTAATCACTATAGTTTTTGGATAGTTTCGAATAAAATCGAATAAAATATTGATGGAACAATTGCGTTAAATTCAGTCTTGTCAAATTATGCCGCAAATTATTTTGCTGACTACTTTATATAAATGAAAAATAATTTTGGCATAGAAAAATATTATATATAGAAATATTAAAAATAATATATTGCATCATAATATATTATAATTAATAACTTGATATTAAATTATTAAAATATTATTAAACAATTTCCTTCAACATATTTCGTGTATATAGTTTTGCAAGAATAAATGAGACTTTTATATAATTCCGAACTCGACTTCTGAGATAAATTGAAATTGAATCTCGAAAGTATCAAGCGTAGACCTTTTACGTCACGCGTCGCACACTTCCGTTTCTCTCATTAATATTACATTATTCCGAGACGTTCTCACGCATTCGAACGTAAGCCACTTTGCACTTTCTGCTTTTTGTCTTCGTGGCTTATTGAATAGATCGCGCGTCAAGATAGCAAGAGAGAATGAGCGCGGTCGCAACTTGATCGTCATGTTTCTCGCGAATAATATATATTCGCGCATTTACGAAACGGAGGCGGCGTTTCCATTTGCATGAGCGTTAAAAGCGGTCACAATTGTAAGTGTCATTTCGAAAATTAATGTGTCGACGGCTTCGCGGGCTCCCGCCGAATGCATTTGCATACAACAGGAAGTGCACCGCGGGTAACTTGTCGTCGTCGCCTGTATCGCACCTGTAGACCATGAATAACGCTGCAGCTGCATTCGCAACGACATTAATTAATTCGCGTAATCTCATCTATCTGTAGCATCTTTATCGGTAAGTAATTGCGCGCGTTTTCTTATCTTTATAAATAGAAAACTCACACCGGGCCTCGATATGCAATCTCGATACAAGACTTATTTAAGTGTCGATGCAAATGTGATTGTCGCGTAGTCGTTATTAAGACACTTTTTTTTCGAGAGAATATCAAAAGAGATAATCGCTGCTTGAAATGAACATAAAGTTCAACCGATTATTGTAAGTCAAGATTTAGAAAATAGCGAACGATAAAATCATTTTATTTTATAACTTTATTTAACTTTTTATTTATTTGTTTTCCAATATTCAATGATGTATTGATATTATCTGTACTCAAAATGTATTTAAATCCGATTGTTTGCAATTCTATTTTTATTGTTTAGTTCTGTACATAATTTATTCATTCCAACTCTAAGCATCTTATAATAAGCTACTTATAAAAAAACTAAATTTTTATATTATATTATATATAATTAATTTCTGTCCATTTATTAGAAAAATATATAAACATTTTTTTTATTTACAAAAATATTTATTTCTTAAATACGTAAGTTTTTTGACTAAATAAATGACTGTACTATTTAATTAATACATAGTTTTATTAAAATTCTAGATTGCTATAGCTTCCAGCTGTAATAAAACTTAATTATAAACATTAAGCGCGTAAAAAAATCTAAATAAAATCTCACAAAAAATTATGTTTCGTTATAAAAACGAAACTCATTATGATAATAAAGTTTTTCAGGAATAAAAAAAATTGATGTGCAAGATTTATATTTTTATAATCTACATGACCTAATTCTGATCAAATTCTGCTCAAACTTCTCTTGATCCATGCGTATTAATTCATAAATACATCCGAATAACTGTCGCCCGACATCTCTTATCACCTCCAATTTACTTATACAAGCAGAAATCGAATTTGGCAGACTGCGTGACCCGAAAATATTCGGTCGACTGCACCTTTCTCGTTCTCAGTCCGCGCACGTGTGCGTGCGCGCGCGCGTGCTCTTACCCTCTCGGGGGAGAAATTCATAGACAAAGATAGAGAGCAGCTAAAAAAAACAGTGCAGATGGAAGGGAGGATAGCGTTGAGGGGGGCTCTCGAGCGACGAGAAGGAACGACGACGCGGAGAAGACGCCGCGAGAAACGCGCACCTGAATGCTCACTTCCAGCTTTCGCGGCGACGCCCGCAAAGGTGCCGCAGGACGAGGGGAACGAGCGGTGGAGGGCGGAAGGACCTCTCAGACGAGGTCTGTCCCCTCTTTGGCAAAATGGTAGGCGGCGACGTGCTGTGCGAACCGAGTCCGCAAGCGTCGGAAACGGGTGGCCGACTTGCGCCGTGCACGAGCCGTCACCCCTTCCGCTCGTGGGGCTCGTCGAGCGAGAAACACGCCCCGCCGCGACGGCGTACACCTCCTCCGGGACCGACGACGCCGCGAATTCAGCCAGACGCTCGTGAGCGGCTGCCACGTGCGGTTGCGAATCGGCGTTCGATGCCAGATTTTGCATTTCTCGTACCCGCCGCTGCTGATTTGACGTCACAGCGGTGATCATTCAGCAATGGCTCGAAAACAGCGTGTACCTCCTAGATTTTAAACTGTAACAGACTCTGTCCAATACTGATCATAAACATATGTAAAGTAATCATTCACCTAAAATGCTGCCAAAGTTGTTTTAAGATCTCCAAGAGTTCATCTAACTGCGCTATTAGAAAAAAGATTGCGTAATATAATGTATTACTACGATTTCTGAGAGTTTCCAGATCGCAGTACTGTCAAATGTCTGTAATATAATACGAAAGGTGCATGATAAGAGTTATTTTAAGATATTTAAAATAACATTGTATAATACAAATTCGCTTGTCTAATAAGAAAACCAAATTATCTTAGAGACTTGATCTTGAAACGTGAAAAAATTCCATCAAGTAGTAAAATAACACCACTTTATTTCATTGTATCCTTCGATTGTTATAATTAATTTTAAAAAATTCATGGAACGCCGAATTGAAGGAATATAAAGATATCACTAAAGAAAATCGAGAAAAATAGCTCTTATCACACTATATGTTTGATATAAAATCTGGCTGCAGACATTTTCGATACTTTTCAACACTATTGCAAGTACTTTGTGTATTATGTGTATATTACATTAAAAAAACAAAACGAAATATAAACCTGTCAGATACAGATCTCTGACAACCATCATCATAACATCCAAAAACCATCCTGGGTTTCTTCAGGCCTTCCCTTAGCCATCTTTTGAACCTTCATTCGCGCATATTTGTCCGTTATCTGGCGTTATATTAATATTGCCCTCGAGTTATCCTTGTGCTCACCCATCGGTCCATATCTTCAACAACATTTCCTTTCTCCATCCGCTACAAAGTATTGCCGACAGTTCGGCGCGGTAACGCCGCGCGTTTCCATTTCTATGCAGCAGGGTGGAATAGAGTTCAATGACTCAGAAGGGGTGAGGGGGGGGATGTAGGAAGGGGGCAAGACGTCTTTCGCGGCATTCCGCGGGATTGACTGCGGGGAAACGAGCTGGCGAGCTTCTCGTGCGTGAATTCGCGCGCAAGTAGGAAAATGCGTCGCAACGCGATGGAAAGCGCGGATAGAGAGAGAGGCGGGGCTTTCATCGCCTCCACCTACGGGAGCACACCTTTCGCGGGTGGTATGTCGTCCGGCCGGGTTTCCCGGACCTTTTCCACAACCACCCCTAGCCGTCTCTTCCTCTCCTTTTTCCGGCCCCCACCATCCGGCCACCTCCGGGAGCGGCCTCGGCGTTTTCCTTCATCGACTGCCTCTTACCGGCGCCGGTGGATTCGCATCGGCCAGCCCGGTTTACTGCAGTCTACTTTTTTTCAGAAGCGCATTTAACGAGCACGTGGAGATAACCGGGAGTGGCTGGCGAAAGTGTTAAATAAGGTACGTAATACCGGTTGGATTAAAATGGTCGATCGAACACGAGAAAATAATCTGATTAATTTCGAGATAATAATAGAATTGGACCAAGAATTAGTACACGATCGAAAAGCATTATCGAGCTCTTGTATTGGAATAACGATAAAAACGCGACAGATGTAACAGGATTATTATTAGCGGGCGACAAATAACGTTGTAAAGATTGTGTAGTTCTAATTATGTAGCGAAATACACTAGTTTTGTACGTAGAGCGACTGAAATGTTAAGAGTGCTTTTCGGATAAAAAGTATTACTTCGAAGAAGAAATTGCCGAAAACTGCGGCACACGTCCCTTTTTCACTTTCTGTATCTTCATTCAGTCAACATCTCTCTAGAAGATTTATAGAAATCTTCTTGCAATTTTAACGAAACGAAAGTGATGGCGTTTACGATCGCCGATTTAACTCTGCAGTCGATAATCCACGAATGTTGCGAAACGATCTCCTTTGTTCGTCTCTCGCCTCGATTACAAGTCATTAATCCAACGGTGTAACGGTCTCGGCAAAGTGCATAAGGACTCCATAGACACTCCTTTCGCTAAGGGGTTACGTTCCGCCTATTGAGCCACCATCTTGCCGAACGACCTCGTCGCTCTTGCACCCCCAAATGAAATGCATCCCGCCTGCGCCCAGCAGACTGCACTCTTTCCCTCCCTCTCTCCTGACCTGCGGATCCATACAGAGCGCAATATCGAGCTCCACCTTCACCACTACTTTCACCACCGCTACCTCCTCCACTTCCGTCTCCATTTCCCGCCCCCGTTGCCTATTACGGGGTTCGTAAGCCCGACGCGCCATTTTGCGTGACCTTTTTTTTCTCCCCCCGATGCCACCTTCGCGGTGACCTCTTCGCTCGTTCCCGCCGGTACCGCTTCCGCCGAGGCCTTAATCAGAGCTTCTTCACCGCGGTAATGCGGAGATAAGGAACGGAAATTAAACGCTGGGCATTTGCAAAACTTGTGGCGCACACGAGAGTATATTTTTAGGAGCCGTTCGACCTCGCGCTTACTGGCCGAGTTTGATGCAGCTAAGTTTTTTATATTCGGCTTCAGAGTTAAACCGGTTAAACTTGGAAAATGTATTTTGCGTTGCATTAATTCTGAATTCTTCGATGTTCTATTTTAGAAATTATACTCCGTTCTTAAAGAATTTAATATTCAAATTAAATTTTGAAAAAGATGTTAGAATAAATAACACTGATTCTAAAAATGTCATTATAAACTTCATTATAGATCTAAATTAGAAAAGTGTTTGTCGTTTTTGGAAAAAACTTAGCGATTTATTTATATTTCTGTCTTTTTATAGTTTATTATTTAGGACAAGATCAGTCATCATCGTCTAATTATTTCAACGCATCCATATTCTGTATTAATTAATAAAATTGTGATTTGTATTAAATAAAATTCTGATTGTATGAATGAAAAAATAATAAATACGTACCTGCTGGGTTTTCTTCTCCAATAAAAATACTTGAATCGTCAATTTGGGAGAGAAATAATTTCAGACAATGCAGCACACATTTGTACATTCCATGATCGTTTTATTTCGATTACAGAACAGCGATCGGAGGATTTACTTTTCTTCGTGATCCGTTTAGTGTATTTACATGAGCTCGCTGGTGCATCGCGAGAGATTGGTTTGAGGCGATGATCTAAAAGTTTCGGTAATTATATGCCCAACGCGTCGAAAGCCGATCATGGAGAAACACAATATTCAACGAAAAACTTTCCGCATAATTGTAAAGCTTGCAAAAATCACTGGAATCGAAAAGAAAAACTGTGATCAATCGCGATCGGCTTTCTCTCGCGTGGTTTTTCTCGTGTAATCTTAAGAATTTTTAATCTCGTTTGAGAAACGAGCTTTGTCGCAGTTTTGTCGCCATTTGTTTAACAAATGTTTATCCTTTGTTACATCATCGATACTATTAAAGATCAATGATCTTATGGGAGTTTCAGAATGGCTGACAATATTTCAATGATTGGCTCATAAGCCAATATTAACCACCAAAACGGACTCTCGGGTCTCTCGTGTCCCAGTGATTTCAATTACTAGAAACTCCTCGAAAGTCTGCACATGCTTGCAGACGGTTCTGTGAGAAAAAAAGTTTGCGATGGAAATACTTTAAAGCCAAAAGACTGTTGATCAGCCAGTTTTTATTTATATGCCGAGCGATTGAAATCGGCGGCGGGTACGAAAGATCCATGAGTTCGGTTTTTGTTGATCAAAACTGGAATTTGGAAAACGTGTTTTTTAGTATGTATTCATTCTTCTGACAAAAATAAATACATTTTCAAACTTTTGGTGATATTGATGCTTTTATTTTAATCAGAATTCGAAAAAATGGCTATACACTCGAGTGAAGAAGTGCGACAGTCGTTCCCGTCAATTTCAAAAAGTAATATTTTTAAGCTCAGAAAGCATCTAATATTTTTACCTCATTTTTTACATATTTTGTTTCATAAAATAATAATATAAACACAAAATAAATATGAGAATGATTTTTTTCTCCCAATTTTCATGCTTTTATCTCTCTAAAATATACCCTGTTTTTATGCACTCTAATAAATTATCTTGTTTTTTTAACAACAAATATTTTTTGTCATCAACTAGGCTTTATACTAAAGAACTTCCATAGTGTTTCTTTTTATAAGTTAAATTTCCAAAAACTATAAATTATTTAAATATGCCATGTTAACGATTACTCTTCAAGAAACAATAAAAATTTAATATTTAAAATAAATTTTTCGCCAATTTCATTATTTGGACATTTAATTAACATTTCATAAACTTATATGATTTTTTTGAGAATTTTTTGTGTATATTAACATTATTTAAGAAGGTGTCGACGAAAGACCCATAAGTCCGGCTTATGTTGACGAAAAACAACAGTTCATTTGAGTTAATTTTATAATTTATTATTATTTGGATACTTCGAAGATATGTACACATATTATGATTTAGTAGATAATATTTTTGGAAAATTGCATTCTAATAATTATTACCAGATGATAAAAACTATAAAAATACAGTTTTACAGATTTTGCGCTGTAAATACATGTGTACATTTTAAAAATATTTGGATAATAATAAATTAAAAAATTAACGCTGCATTATAAGCCAACCATTAAAACATTTTTATATTGTATAGTTTTATAACCATCTTCAATTATTTCTGAAAATCACATCAATAATTACGAAATTCTCTCTAAAGCTGACGATCTTTAAATAGCATCTCATCGGTTGTTATACGTAATTCAGATGTAACTAAAATTTATAGCAAAATATAACGTGCAACTTTAATCCATTAATGTTCAAAGAATTATAAAAAATTTAAATTTTTCATGAGGAATCAGATTGTTATTTTTCAGATTGTTATTTTCGAAAAAACACCGTTGCCATGTATCAAATAATTGAAAAGTTTGTTATCAAAATATTATTCTAATAGAACCATACGAATCGTTGAAAACACAAATGAATACGATTTCCAATTAACATTACTTACGAAAAAAAAATTATTCGTAATGACTTCGAAATATGCAGAAAGGAACAAACGCGTAAAATATCTATCAGTTTTTGAAAAGGACGACGCGTTTGTAAACAAATGCGGCCACGATTATTGTTGGCGCGCAAAACTGTGTCGGGTGATCGATCTTGGGGCGACGCTTGGTTGGTGATCGTTATGAACTAACAAAGTTAATTTACTAGCTCTAAGATGCATAAACGTACATGTTAATTCTAAAGAGTTAATTTACGTAACGCAGAGAAATATACAAGTATTTACAGGAGCGGATAACGCTCGCTGATAACATTGCCCGGCTGATGCCAATTCCGCTTGGGCTGGTCGCGGATTCTAAGGGATGTCAAACCAGCTCGTTTACATGTAGATGCGCCGCAGATCGGACGGCGACGTTATCATGTTGCATTGCGGACAGAGCTTCTTCGCGCCCTGCAACAACGGCAAGAAACGTCGTTTCTCAATTCCGAATACTAAAGTTATCGCCTGACGTCTAGACGAGAACTTAATGTGGGAGAATAATTGAAAGAATAAAAAAAAAGAGCTGATAATAGTTTTAGACAAAGACGAATCCTGATTTATCGATGTCAATTTAAACGAATTCACTGGCTGGCAATTAAATTAATGACGTGTTGTGCAAAGGAAAATCAAATTCAGAATTTCATCCTTCACAAATACGATGTGCAGAAAATACACATCTTTGGTGTTATAATTATATTTTGCAGAAAATCTAAAACAATAATGATTGCTTCACAAACTGGATTGAACGACGTCCAATTATAAATTTGAAAAGTTAATTAAATAGTTTAAAACACTCGCAAGATAATTAGAGGATTTAGGAGCATTCTTATTATAAAAAAAATAATAAACTCACCAGCGTATGCAGCCAGCACTGCTCGCAATGTACGTGCCAGCAGCAAACTGAAGTGACTGGCTTCTTATATTGTTCCTGAAATGTAGAGAACCCGTGTGTTCGATAAAAAGAATGACAGACGAGTTGGTTCGCGTTATGTATTCCCTCACGTATGTCAAGATAAACAAATGTTATAATTATATAAAGATGTATATATTAATATTATCAGTTTAGTTGATTAAAAACCGATTAGAAGCATTAGCGATATAATCAATCTTGAAGCTTAAACGAGTTGTGTCTCGAGATCGAAAGAGAAGAATCTTAATTTCGCATTAATGCGAAAGTCGAGTCGTCGAAGTATCCGGTTCGACTTTTCGCGGACAACGCAACAAGTGCAACGTGCCGATAACACTAACGCGAACAAAATAGATTTAACGATCGCAAGACTGGGAGTTGAATCAATATCTGGCGTTCCTTCTCGCTCTTTCGCGATTTCGTAAGATGAATTAGAGCTGCCATTATTCGTAGCCATTACGTAAGCGGCATTCCTCTCAGGATCGGCAAAATACGTCCGCTATTTATCTTGGTCGGTAACGGCCGCTTCGGCTCGATACACGCAGGAGTTTTATTGCCAAGCTACCAGTGTGATTGCCGTCTTATCTCGCGTGACGAGTTATTTGGCGAACACGGGCGCGTACTTATAACGAAGTGCGCGCGGCGAGCTGGGGGACAGGCAATATTACGTCGACGATGGAAACACTGGGCGGCGATATTACACGTAATGCTCCTTCGTTACTTCGTTAATTCGAATGGCCGGCGTTGAGGAATAATTTATTTCGACGATCTAAATATTTCAGCTTGTCACCCCGACGGGAAATGCGGTCGAATTTTATGCTCCGGTTTTATATCTCATTACAATTATTTACGAGTTGCAAAACGTGCGTTTCCAGGTACGAATGAAACGCGATGGAAATAATATATATAAAATGTAATATGACAAGAACGTAATAATATAAAACACACGATAAACGCGCCGTTTTCCGAGCTATTTTTTGCATGTTTAATTTGATTTTTCACGTATTAAAACCAGCAAGTTATAATCTAATTACAATGATTTAATTCTAACATATTACCATTGTGTGCAATATTAACGTTTAAAAGTTAATTGCTCCATTTTTACGGTCGATCGATAGTCGTTTGCCGGAGTTCAAAACCTAATTTTTATTATCGCAGTTGTTTCCCTTATTTTCGAGTGTATCGTCAAATTTCATTATTCAAACCATTATTTCATAAAATCTATAATAATTTAATAAAGCAGTATGTTTTTGTTCAATTTCGTTCTCTTACCGTAGAAACAAAGAAACAAAAGCGCAGTTTTAATATTAAGTCGTGTTTTCAATCAAATATCTTCTAAAAACAATCGCGTTATTACTTATAGAAATTCATTGGTGCGCGCAATTACTCTACAAATGTCTGCTGCTCTTTAGGATTTAAACTTTAAGATTTTTCTTGCAATTCAAAGAGTATCTCATTTATATTTATTCGGATTGCTTTGTTAATTAACTTACCATGCAGATGAGACACTTGAAGGGTTGCCCGCGCATCTCGGCCTCGAGTTCACGAATGCGACCGCGAAGGGCGTCGACGACCGGCGTGTCACCGTCCCTCCTTGGAGACGCAGATGCTCCCTCCTCGGGATCGTTCTGCTGACCGACGGGCGTCGCGGCGCCTGGTTCTGGTTTCACCTCAACCAGGCCCTGCGTCGTCAATCCCGAATCCGGGGTTAACTGTTGCGGCGTGTGCGGCGCATTCGGTGAGATAACAGCCTCGCGAAGAGCGTCGCGTTCCTTTTGTTCTCGCGGCGTCCCGTCGATTCGCAGCGCGACGACGTCCGCCTCGGAATATTGCGCCGGACCGAACTCGGCAGCGTCGTCGCCGTCGACCACCAGGTCGACGTCTTCGTCCTCCTGGTTACCGCCCCCGCCCCGGCACCGCCGCCGGAACGATTGCTCGAGGAGGTGGCGAGCCCTGCGGCTGCGAGGTGGAAAAACGACGAGCCGTTAAACACTTCAAAGGCGAAGGTAGTGCGAGATTGAAAAGTCGAAAAGATACTTTATACTCGATTATGCGCGGATACACGCTGACTGATAACACTGGCCAATGCGATCAAACTTATCCTATAAATGTAAAAAAATATGATACATAAAAAAAGTAATTCTACAAAAAATTCTGTTTACTTTTTAAGTTTTATAAGTCCTTAATAACAATACTTGATAAAATAGGCGCTATCGGGCCAATTCAAATTGTATTATACTTATATTTGACAATTTGATATTTACGTTTCGGCCGTGTTATTTGAATCAAGTTGAACACATAAAACTCCTCACCCTGTTTTATTAATTATTTAGTATTTGTGAAAGCGCTTTCCCTCAAACCGCCTATTATGTATTTATTTTTCGCATTCTAAATCGTATATCGTGTACGTACAGTAATACTTCTAATCGTACGACTGTGATTTTTGATTCTACTGCTGCAAAATGTATGTAAAGGTATGTAAAGGTATGTAAAGGTATGTAAAGGTATGTCATTTGACATACAAAATTTCAAAACATGTTAATGTCGCTCTAAATTAATCTCGAACAATATGAAACGTTACTTGCACATCAAAATGCAAACTAAATAAATTTATAATTATGACATAATTAGAATGATCGAATATATATTTATTTTACGCTTTCACGTGGAATTTCATATTCTATATTGATCTAACGTTTTTAAGTAAATATAAAATTGTATATTATATGTGCTTAATGACCGCAAATTTAATGCAAATATTTGCCTGCGCATATATCATAATAAATTCGCGTGTAATTTAACCCAGCAAATGGACTCACCGGAAAATCCACCGACGAGCATAGAAGTGGCGCGTACTCTTCTCTGGCCTGCCCACTCGTACTCTTCGAAGGTCTCGGCATCGCCTTCAACGTCGACCTCTTCTTCGTCGAGATTCGCATTCTGTCCGGCCGGGTTGCCGTTGTTCTGCTTGTTCAGACACCGGTCGACGTGCTGGTTCAATTCTTCCGGGGTGCCCGACAATCTTTCGCTGCAAACTGGACAGGACGCTTCGTCCGCTTTCCTCTTCCGGTTCTTAACGCGTATTCTTGCCTGCGCAAAGAAGACAGCAACGCGCATATCGTTATTACAATTCGAAGAATCTAAAATCAGGCTACGCGAGCGATTATTTCATATCGATTCCGCTATATACGGTCATCGTGTTGAATAAATAAATTAACCATATAATTTATTAAAAAAAAAAACCATGAAGAATAGAAACAGTAATAAAATTGTCATATTTATCAGCGTGGCAAAAAGTTGCTTTACATTTGGAAAAGTTTATTAAGTTGCAATCTGTGCGATTATAAAGCGATATGAAGCAATTTGAAAAACAATTGCCAGTGGATGCATCACCTGTCTATTAGCCTTGATCCTTTTGTACGTCTCCCATCTGCCTTGGGGTGTGCCGTCCGCCGCCGACGGGGCGTGCAGCATCGGGCCATGAGGATGATCTTGGGGATGCGTCGGCGGCAAAGTTGACCTTGGAGGCCGAGGTCTTGTCGACGCCGAGGTGATTTTATACAGTCGATCAAGCTCTTGAGCAAAATGCTGCTCCAATTCTTGAGGTCTCACTGTCACACCGCACACCGGACAGCAAGATGGGTCTGAGGGAAATTTCTTCTTGCCTGAAAAAGAAGGAAGATATCCAAATTACGATTAAAATTATTCCACTTGTAATATAATCGATTTGATCGAGTAAGTGTCAGTCGTGCCTATTAAATTTCAATTGTCAACTATTGGTATAATAGTGATCATATATTTCGCGAATAATTGAGAATTAGAAAAAATTTTTTCAATATTACTCGATTTATGTCTGATTATATGTACGAGATTGTTTTTGTGTGTGTATGTTCATTAATAATGGCAAGTAATAAAACCATTTTAGATCACAATTGTTTCAAATTGAAAATCGACTGTTTTAAATTTCTTTTCAATATTTTATTATTGAAATAAAAGAGTGAATACCATATTTCAATATCTACATCATATGTATACGCTATGTCAATGAAAAGCGCTGCTTGCGAAACGTTTTTCGTTGAAAAAACGTGGACAAAAAGGAAAGAAATTCCCTCTTATTTGACAATTAAATGCATTTAAAAGATGTCTTTGATGTCCTCGGAAAGTGAGGATTCAGCTAGCGCGCGCGTCTCAAGCGGTGACCGAAGAATGGAATCACCGGGGGCCGCGTCCCGTCTTCTGGAAGACATCGGCTAACGCGATTTAAAAAGTATTTAACTTGCCTCGTAATTACTTTCCGCAACGAGTCGTCGTCGCCGTCGCAAGGCGCGCGCATCGCATTAAGCTCAGAAACGAGCCGCGAAACGAAAACCGCCGTCGTAGGTCAGCGCGGGCCGGCTCGTTTACTCGCAATTTATTGCCCGGTAAAACCGGGCAAATAAAAGAAAGAAAAAAAAGAGGGAAAAACAGCCGGGGAAGAGAGAGAGGGAAGAAGAGCGGGAGGAGAAAAAGCGCGGTGCAAACAGCCGCGTGCCCGCGCGGTAATCTAGCGGGATACTTCTGTTCCGTGCCTCGCGCGCGCGCGCACGGTTGCACTGTGACGGGAATGCATAATTAATTGCGAAAACTTGTCGCCGTCCACGTCCCGCCAACCGCCACA